CATGGATGCGCTTTCGACATCAACATCCAGACGTCAGCACCAATAGTTCAAGGCACAGCCCCTCAATACCAAGGTCGATCCATGGTATTTTCAATACGAAGCCGAGCATTCCAAACAGGACCCCAGACTGCAAACATCATCTATTTTGCTCACATCACTGGAGCCTGACTTAGCAGATGCCGACCCTCCATCTCCAGCGGAGGACTTTCAAACTTATGCACAATTGATGGTGTGCACGGCTAAGTCCCTGAATCTCCAAATACATAGACCCACAACTGTGCAAGTGGATCATCTCTATGATCCAATTTCCAAGGACACCTCATTTTATGTTACCATCCCTAGTTAGCACTGCCCAATGCTCATGGTCAAAACCAGCTTTGTCTCACTCAATGTCGAAACGCATCGACAACCTTTATCGAGTTCATGATTCGGGAGTGGTTTTTTCTTTGGAAACAACCAGCCCTGAACCCGATCTTTTTTGAGGCTCCCCAGTCTCGAATCTCGACATTGTCATATTCTCATACCGCCCAATAAGGACAGCAGGCGGATCGACTTCATGGGCAGGTGGATATAGTCTTTTTCTGCATTCACCATAAGAGTCGCCAACTAGCAAGGAGCCATGGGTGCTTACCAGCAGTTCCTCTGGGACAATATGTCCACCTTCACTGAAGCACTTCCAGAGGACAAAAAGGTATTGGCTCAAACCTTCCAGCAGGAAGGGCTTTCAGTTGCAAAACAGCAAATGCTGTCAGACAGACAAACTGTCGATGCCATAGCTAAATCCATGGCTACCTCCATGGATTTCTCCTGGCTAAGAACCACTGGCCTAGCTGAAGATGCGAGAGGGCGTATTGAAGACCTCCCATTTGATGGGACAGATCTTTTCAATTCTGAAACAGACAATATTCTAGAAAATGTTCAAAAGAAAAGAACAGCTGCTAGCCGATGGGGAGTCTACCCTACATACCAGCAATGCCCTAAGTTCACTCAATGATGGCACCCTTATAACTCCTACCAGAAGTTCCATCAGGAACCTCAGAGGCAAACGTCTTACACATTTTACTACAAGCAACAACCTTACTGGGCCAAACCACATCAACAGGCCACCACCAGGCACAATGACTGCAAAACCAAACATCATGTTTGATGTCCAGCCGGCCAAGATCCAAAACAGCCCCCACCCTCTGGAAACACTTACCTGTATGGGAATCCATCACCACGGATGCTTGCCTCTTCTCCATCATCTGAACCGGGTACTGCATACAGTTCTGTTGGCTCCCTCCACCATCGCATACCATCACACCTCCATCGTAAACCCTGCAAGACAAAATACAGGCACTACTGCTCAAAGATGCCATAGAACCAATATACAGTGGTGCCCCACATGATTACGATAATCCATCCAGGAAAATCGCTGTACAGCGAAATTGGCATCATGCCAAAAAAGAAAAAATCCCCATTGGAATGCATTGAAAACCGTTTAATGTGTTCCAATGGGGAAAATACCTCATCGTCCAGCGAAGATCGCCCATAGAGAACTGCCAATCAACTGTTTTAAATCGCTGTCTTGCAAAGCTTTTGTCTGGAAAACACCCATTTTGTGAAGGGAAGCCATCCATTTTGTGAAGGGAAGCCATTTTGCAGAACCGGAAAAATGGTTGTTTTGCGAAGACGTCAAGTGGAAATCCCCCATAGGAAACATCATTTTGCGATCGCTATAGTGATCACAAAAAAATCCTCCTGTGGTTTCATCATTCAGCGAGGTTGTCATCTAGCGGGGCACGACTGTACCAAACAGGCAGAGTTTTTTTCCTATTGTTATTTCACCATCCCCAAAAAGGATGGAGGCTTTTGCCCTGTCCTTAACCTCAGAGAACTAAATCTCTACATCATTACGACAGAATTCCGTGTGATTGCCCTCAAGTCTGTCCTTCCCCTGCTCTGAAAAAATGACTGGTTTGCTGTTATAGACCTGAGAGACACCTGTTTCTATCCATCCATCTCACAGGCCCTATCCCCGCTTCCAGCTTGGATCCCAAGCCTACCAGTTCAAAATACACCCATTCGGACTCACAACAGCTCTCAGAGCCAAATTCATGGCTCCTGTTGCAGCTTACCTCAGACTTCACAAGACCCACATTTTCTTGTACATCAACGACTGGCTCCTCATAGCTTGCTCCCATCGCAAGGCACAATGGAACATTCACTTTACACTGTCCGTTCTCTGTGATCTCGGCCTTGCTGTAAACATACAAAAATCCAAGTTACAGCCCACAAGGGTTGTCCATTATATAGGAGCACTCTTAGACTCCACTCACACCCAAGCATTCCTCCCAACAGACAAATGACTCAACCTGATATAATTGCTTTGCATCTTCACCCCTCATGTACTGGTACCTGCATTAACAGTTCAACACGTCGTTGGCACTATGCCATCTATGACATCAGTAGTGCAACACATAGGCCTCAAAATGAGGTCACTCTAGGCATGGTTCCTAGCTCTTTTTGACTGGCTAACAGACCCACCTCACACCCTAATTATGGGTGACCCCAGAACTTGTGCTGTTTCTTTTGTGTTATATTCTAAGCATCGGTAGTTGCTGCATAAACTTGGACTACTGTTATGAACATATCTCCCCCACTCTGGCTGCTCTGCACTGGTTACCCATCCGTTTCCGCGTCGACTTCAAAGTGCTAATTATCACTTATAAAGCCCTAAATGGTTTGGGACCTCAATATTTGGCAGATATTTCCAACACATGTTTTTTAGTACAATGGTTATACTAGGTCAACGGTTAGTAACATTGTTTCAACATCCTGTTTTCAACCTTGTCTGGAACATTTCTACTCCCCCAGACATCTGTGCCTAAGTTCACATCCTCTTTTTGTATTAGTCAAACAATATCCTAAAATAATTCTTGCAACTGAATCTGCAGACATAAGCAGGCCTGCTCTGCTCCTTATTAGCCCTAACAAGACCATTGATTATCAGTAAAATTTGTTCATTATTGGGCCTCTCTTCATCCATAACAGTCTCCTTGTCTGAGTGGTTGATCAGCTAAGGAGGTGGGGCTAGGAAGCCTATGCTCCTACTAGAGACTGGTTGAACAACCAAAGAGGAGGAGGAGAGGATCGCATGCTGGTTGGTGAGTGGGGGATCCAATTGGGGAGGTGGGGAAAAGGAACATGCATACAAACCAGCACAAACCTCTGAACTGAGATTCGTGCCCATCTCTAATCTGCTGCCCAGAGTAGATTTATCTAGATGGGCGGTTTAAAAGCCAAATAAATAAATAAATATGCTTCTTTCGAACTGGAGCTTTGCATGGATAATAGAGGACATCTCTGTGCTTTGAGTACTATTTTAGTAAAGTCTGCTTCTAGCTCACTGTGACTGACACTTACTTGTCCTGGATTCTTGAAACTGAGTGGCTGAAGCCTTTCTTTTGCTGAGGTTTGTTGCTTATATGCACTGGAATGTATAAACACTAGAGATGGGGATGAATTAAAAAATGGCAATTTGTTGTGATTCATGATTGATCAAGGTTAATGAATCAATGAATACGAATCATTGATGAATCCACGAATTGATTCATCAATTCATCTTTGCTTTAAAAGTCTATAAAACTGGCAAGGAGCTAGAGACACCAAATTTGCAGGGAAGCTTCCTAAGATGGATTTCTACAAGTCCAGCAAGTTTGGTGAACATTGGGTAATGGATACCTGAGTTATATAGTCACAAGGAGGACACCCCCAGTAAAGTTCCCCCCAGGTACTTAGAGTATCCTAAATCAGACCAAAGCTTCCTATGTCTTTCCCCAATATGCCTGCCAAGTTTGGTGAAGATTGGATATCGGACATCTGAGTTATTCACCCACAAATTGGGTCCCCCCAGGATAGTTTATTATGTGGCACAGAAACAGATGGCATTGAGGGAGTTTGATTTGTCTCTGCCAGGCACACAGAGGAATGAGGCATTGAGGTAGAGTTTAACTTCAGCAACAGCACATTTGCCAGTGACGAAGAGTTTGCCCCAGGAGGCAATGAGATATTTGTTATTGAGGTAGTGTTTGATCCTGTTGGGCACTGAGGCACATGACAGCAAAGTAGACTTTGGCCCCATCGGGCACTGAGGCAATTGGCAGCAAAGTAGACTGTGGCCCCATTGGGCACTGAGGTATTTGACCTACATAGTCACACAACAAATTTCCCCCACCCACTGTGTCTGAAGAGACACAAATTAACACAAGCCTCCAAAAGTAACTAAGTTTTTTAAACTTAAAGCCCTGCCAGCTAAGTCTCAGAATGAGACACACACACAACCACAGCAATTAAATGTTGTTGGGAAAGGGATTCCACGGTCACACACCTCATTCCTCCCCCCACTGTGAACACAAGCGTCCAAAAAAGAAGTTACCATAATAAAGAAGTAGCCTAAGCTAACTGAAATCCGCTAAAGAAATCCCTCCCCAAATTCCCAGTAAAGTTCTAGTAATAAAATGAACAAGAAAAAGAAGTGTCTGCTTTGCCACCACAGAAGTGAAAAAAGCACAGCACAGCTAGCAAGCAAGTAGCACACAAGCACCAGCCAACAGCAACTGTTCTCACTCTGGAGAGAATCAGAACAGAAGTGGGAAGTGGCTCTGGGGAAAAGGCTTATAAAGCCTCTGTAAAAGTTACATCCCCCACAGCTCTTTCAGCAGCACTATTGGCTGCCTAACATGCTAATCCAGGATCTCCTGATGGGCAAGAGCTTCTGATTGGCACCAGCAAGCTCAGAGATAGCATCGAGAGGCCCCGAAAGGGTAACAAATATAGATGAATATTGATGAATTGATGAATAAAATCGGAAAAATATTCATCAAGTCGTATTTGTTGGGACTTAAAATTCGACGAATCAGCTGTATTGGTTGAAAATAGTGATTTGTTTTTATATTCATCCCGATCTCTAATAAACATGCTTAATTGCAACTGACAATCTGTTTCTTTACTTTTCACAGGCAATAAGCTTAGAACCAAAGCTGGTTAATGCATATTGGCACAGACATTTACTTTTTCTTTACCATAATAAAATTCTTCAAGCACTGGAAGACCTGAATTTCATAATAAAGTGCAACAAGAATAATGCAGGCAAGTATCTTTGGAATTTTGTTATCCAAAATTTGGCTTGGGCCTCTTGTGTGACCTCCATAATAGAATGATGCACTTAAGATTCTTATATTTTGAAGCAGTCATGTCCTGTGCTAATTCCATAAAACATGCAGAGTGAACTTATTTCCATTTATACCATCATCTATTTCATTGTAAGCTATTTAGACCTGCTGGACAGCTCAGTGGTTTAGGTACCTGGCTGTGGAGCCAGAGGCTGGGAGTTCAGTTCCCCCTGTGCCTCCTTGGCAGAAGCTGGACTCAGTGATCCATAGGGTACTTTCCAGTTATTAGGTTATATTGGATTAGGTTAGAGTTGTCTGTTCTAGAGTTTACAAGATGTTGAAATTGTCTTAACTAACATCTAGACATGGGGCCGAATATAAAAAAATCAGGAAATTCAATGAATATCTCTGATTTGTCAGATATTTGTTGCTTCGTATTTTTGAGGTCTAGAGACCCTAACGAATAGGAAGCAACAAATATAACTCTTTTTATATTCATGTCTTCGTTCCGTATCTGCTTATGCCCCCGGGATCAGCTGTTCCTTGGGGGCACAAGCGAGGAAAGATTTTCCCTTCAGGAGGCTTGCTAAAGCCTGCCCAAAGGGAATCCCAACCCTGGGGATGTGAGATCGCTTGGTTCCTCTTTCCTCCTTTTCCTATGCCTGCACGGTATAGGCAGAGGAGGAAAGGGATCAGTGGGATAAAAGCAATCCCCCAGCCCTGCTGCCTTTGCAAAGACAGTGAGGCTGCAGGATGGCTTGGGTCCCACTTTCATCCTCAAGCCAACCTGCAGGGACTGGGGGAATCGCTTTGACCCCTTTCCTCCTCTTCCTATACTGTGTGGCATAGGAAGGCTGTGGGGGCTGGGTCTTTTCATTTTTATTTTTAGATATTCCTGGGGGCTATCTAAAAAAAAGGTGACCCAATGAACGAACAAATGGATTCATGGTTTGTTGGGTGACTGGGGGACAATTCAAGGTTCATGGGTTGTCAAGTTTGACAACCCACAAACCAAGACAAACCGCCATTTTGGTGCTTTGTCTCCATCTCTACTAGCAACTATAAAGGGAAAGGTTATCTAAGAGTTTTGTAGTTTGATCAATTTGGATTTGCCCACTGAGTCATTTAGGCAGATGTAGAGAAAGGACTTAAAATATTTAATTTCCAATGAAGGACCTGATAAGAAATGTTGCTGTTTTGACCTACTGCAGCATGGTAGAAAGCTTGTTAAAGAAGGTTGGGATTAAAACAGTTTTTAGACCCTTTAAAAAATAGTCAGTGTATGCAGCCTGTGAAAGATTTGGGGGTTTAGGGCTCCCTGGTGTTCATGACATCCCATGTTCATGTGGTTTGACATATGTAAGACAGACAGGAAGAAGGATCGAAATCCAGCGCAGAGAACATCAGTTCTATCTTAGATTGGGTCAGGAAGAAAAGACTGCATTAGTAAAACATGTCTGGGAAACTTAGTACAGTGGTGCCTCGTATAACGAGTGCCCCGTTTAACGACAAATCCGCATACCGATGCGGATTTTGCGATCGGAAAAGCGATCGCATACCGATGTTGCCTATGGGGAAAAATCGCTTTGCGATGTTTTCCCTATAGGCACCATTTTTCCCCAGCTGAGTGGCGGGAACCTCCCAAGGAGTGCTCCCGCAGCTCAGCGGAATGTTTTGTGATGTAATCACATTAAGTGTTTGTTTATTTGTTTGTTTATTTATTTATTTATTTATTGCACCTTAAGCAATGTAGTTACTATGCTGTTCGTAATCCTGAAGACGATAAGATGTGTTTTCCTTGTTGAAAACTTGATATTTTATTGTTTTATTAAACTTTTTACTTGGAAGCTAAACCTATGAAGTTTTTAAATTCAATTCAGTCTGTTTGACTGGGATTAGTCATCTTTTGCTATGATGCTCCAAGAAAGCAGAAAGATTTTCATAGGAATATATTTGCAGATTTTGCTCACATCTTTCTGTAAAAATTGATTCAAAAGTTTGTACTAAGAATTTTTAAATAAACATGTATGTTCCTTGTTGATAAGGCAACAGACAACTTTTGGCCCCCCAGATATTGTAACCCAGTATTCCTCCTCATTGGCTATGTTGGATAGTGGTGGTGGTGGGAGTTGCAGTCCAAAAACATGTAAAGCAGGGGTGGGCAATTAATTTATATAAGGGGGGCAAATGAAAAATTTGAACTGTGTTCGGGGGCCGAACCAACTTTATTTAAAAATAAAATGAAACAGTGATGTTATGATTGTTTTTATTTTAAACTTGTTAATCTTCACAAATACTAAAGAGGTTTTTTGTGGTATGTTAAAGATAAGCAGCTGATCAACTTTAGACAAAAAGCTATACAGTGGTGCCTCACTTAACGGGCGCCCCGTTTAACGACGAATCCGTGTAGCGACGAAGATTTTGCGATCGCAAAAGCGATCGCACTGTGATGATTTAGATAGGAAAAAATCGCTTTGCGATGATCGGTACCCTGTTTCGCATACCGATCATCGCATAGCGATGATTTTCCAACAACTGATCGGTGGTTCCAAAATGGCCGCCGGGTAAAAAAAATGGCCGCCCACTGTGTTTT